CGCGAGTGTCCCTGCTGCCTGCTCCTGGTGGCGACCCTGTCAGAGGAGACAGATCTGGGCCGAACCAACACGGTGGATGATTCTGGAACTGACTCTGTGATAAAACAGCTCTCTTTGCAGTCTTGGGAACAGAGGCTCTGCTGGCAAGCAGCCAGCACTGACAGAGCTGAAAGGAAGGGACCTGCTCATTCCTTAGAAATGGGATACAGTGCGAAGTAGCCTCCCTCAAGGCACAGCCAAGTGGCAGGAGGCAGGAGCCAGGAGGGTGAAGTTTTAACGAATCTCAGTTTACCTCTAGAGATGTAAACACTGAGAAAGGCAGACACTGGCTGTCAGCAACCAAGCATCTGACTATCGTGACGGAGCAATGGTGCACCAAGCAAGTACACAGACTCCTCCAGGCCCCGGCTGCTGGGGTTCAAATCCTGGTTCCATCCGCCACTCCCACCCCTCACTGTGTGTCCTTTGGCAAATTACTCAGCCTCTCTGTGCCTCAGTTTTCTCAAGTGTAAACTGAAGACAATAGTACCTACCTCACAAGATTGTTGTGAGGATTAAATGAATGATTTGTAGGATTTGCAAACCACTGGAAACAGTGCCTGACACAGTGTTTGTTAAACACATGAGAATCATGGGAATCGTATAGAAAGGGTCAGAATCAATGTGGCAATGTTAGAAATGGTGGCAAACACAAATGTGTTCATTTCCACCAAGGGGCGTGACCAGCATGAGAACTGTGTCCAGGGACCACACATGAGTGGGCTGACTGAATTTATGCTTCAGGGCTAGCATTGGTGGGCTAGCATTGGTGCAAGAATTCAGGAAACTGGGGGGCAGACACAAAGCCCCAGCTCCACCCAGGGGAATATGGCTCCTCTGCCTGTCAGTCCACAAAGCACAACCCCAAAGCAGACTCACCCTCATCCTCTAATTCCTTTGGGGTGTGCTGTGCAGCTGCTCTATGGTGGGGCAGCCATGCACGGTTCCCCTCCCTGGCTTCTTGTTCTGACTCTCTCAAGTCAGCAGAAAGGCTGCTGCTGGCAGGGTAAGGGCACAGGGGCGAGGCAAGGCTGGTGTCCTCACCCTGCAAAGGCCAGGGGTCACAATCCCCCTCACTCCAGGCTTGGGGGAGCAGAGGTCAGGAAGTGGGCTCCTCGGCCGACTTACCACTTTGGGCTTGAAGGGAGGCTGGATCTCCCTGTTCTCTAACTTCTCCCAGTCGATTCTCCGGAAGAAGGCGTGTTCTCTCACATCCCGTTCACCTTCGAGCCCACAGCCCAGCCGCTTGGCAGGGTGTTTGGTCATCA